CAGAAAGAGGGAGAAGGAACAGTAAAGGTGTAAAGTAGGGTACTTTGATCCAACCTTAATCCCTCCAACCCCTAGGGGTGCTGGGTTGGGTGGTTCCCTTTGAGTCAGCATCGCTTTGCCAGCCTGTTCAGACACAGTTCCCCACTCCACCAAATAGTTAGGAAAGACAAAAATACTATAAATAAAACTAAAACAAACAAACAGAAAAACTTACTGGATACAACTGGCAGAAAAAACAAATGATAGGTGCAGAAACGCTAGCAAAAATGAAATTCTTATTATTAAAGTTGGCAACAATGGAAAATTATATTTAAACTAGAAAAATGAAGAAACAAAAAAAGAAAAATAAAAAAACTGGAGGGGAAAATGTTGAAATAAAAACAAACAAACATAAGAAAAAAAGTCAAACCAAAAACAAAGTAGTATCTATATCTTGCTGAATATTGTCCAGGCAACAGGTGATCTTCTGGCACATGAGGTGTTAATCACAATGCTCATATAGCTGAATGAGATGGAGACTGTAGGCCTTTGCTGAATTCTCAAACCCCACGGTGCTGAGAGTCTAACTTTCTCCTCAGCCTGCTTAAAAGACTCTTTAAACCCTTAACCTTGGCTAAGCAGAAGCTTTCCCAGGAAAGCATTTGTTGCTGGGATCTCTCCTGAAGTGGCTGCCCACTTATCCAGTGCACCAAAACTGGTCTCACTCTATGACCCTTAGGGTCAAGGCCACAAGGAAGCCCTGCTACTGCCAAATACTGAAATATCCACTCTTCCCTGGTGTCTCAGTCCTGGCCTTTGGCACTGCTCAGTCACTAGATCACTTGCCCAGGGTCTCCCAGACAGAGCCTGACTCTGTGACCCTGAGGGCAGAGCCTGCAGGGGCAGTTCTCGCACAATGGCTCTGTGTGTATGCCAAAGCCAAACAATATTACCTCCATTCTGGCTCAGCGGCTCAGTTTGGGGCCCTAGACAATGCTTAAAGTCATTCGCACTCCCTCCCAAGTTTTCCCAAAGTAGTTCAACCAAGTGCCCCAGTCAAAAAAACAAAACAACCCACAGGGAAGGCCTTCTCTGTTTGCAATCTCGCTGCTGTTGTAGTTACAGCTGTGGCAGCCACGGCCTTAGACAGAACAAATGCAACCACTTGCCACTTCTCCACTGCTTTTGTCCTCCTCTTGGGGTCCAGAAGTCTCTCACTGCTTCCCTGTGTCTGCAAAGGGATGTTTGTGGGCAGAGCACCCAAGCCAGAGATGCCTGGAGTCTTCTCTCCCCACATTGCACCCAGTTCCAAAGAAGCTGTTACTTGCCCACCATCTTGCTATCCTTCCTCTTGCACATGTATTTTTAATTACTTTAATTACTTTTCATGTCAAATCTCTGTGACTTAAAGTGAACTTTCACAAAGGTCACCCATGTTTAACCTATGGCTGGCTTTACCTACTCTCAAATCCAGCTTCATCCTAGTTTGGGCAGCAAAGACTAGCATATGAGAATGAATAAACATAATTAATTCTACTGCTACAACTATTGGACACAATGGAGAGGCTAAAGAAGTCTGACTTCTACACTGTATCACAGTTGACCTATGGTATCATAAGTCAAAATAATTAGTCAACAAATATGCTTTTGGCAGAATATGGAGTAATAGGTTCCAGGTTTGCCCTCTCATTTCAAACAACCAAAAAACTATTGATGGCATAATAATTTTCAATACAGTGAAAATGAATGTCATGTAGTAAAGGACAGTGACCCATGAGAAGAGGAAACAAATAGTATGAGGGCTAGTACTGTCCCCAGATTATAGTTTTAAGAGATTCTAGGCCATAGTTCAGGGAGAGGAAACTCAGGGAGAGCCTGGAAGACTCCTTGAGTTGAGGAAATGGAGCTGAGAGTACAGAGGCACCAAGCTACCTATAATTTGCAGGACACATTAATGGGGAAGAAAGAGCTACACAGAGAACCCCAAAAATCTACAGAGGGTCCTGCTCAAGTATTTAGCAGAATAATGATCTGTTGTATGTATGTGAGAAAATTACCTGAGGCTGGGGAAAAAACACCTATAGGAATTAGAAGGGAAAATACCTGGTGCTTTCACAAGACTAGAAATAGTGCCTGTCCCAACCAGCAAGACTAGAAAACCTCATAATTCTGGGAACATCAAGTGCAGTATTCAGTAGGTTCTTGCCTAACTAGTGGGAATATTTAGCCCTAGACCAGACTTGACTCTGGACCCACATAATGCATCTTAAAACAAAGAAAGGATCAAACTGTTTTCAACTAGCTTAACTGGATCCCGGCAAAAAACTTGAGCATATATATAAGAAGAAAAAAAAAGCAGGATGCAACAAGGTAAGGTTCATGTTGTCTAGCATCCAATAAAAAATTAATGGGTATGCAAAGGAGCAAGAAAATTCAGCCAATAATCAGAAAAAGTGGCTTCTTTCCCTAAGCATAATGCCTTTGGAATTCATCCATGTTGATACATGGGTCAATAGCTCAGCCCTTTTTAATTATGAGTAGTATATCATTTTCTGGATATACTGCAATTTGTTTATCCATTTAGTTGTTGATGGACTAATGACTTTAGACTAATGACTAAAAAATGATGTTAGCCTAAAGAAAAAAATGCATTCTGATATAGCATCTAACTTAAATTATTTTATAGAGAATATGTTAAATATATTGTGATTTAACATAAACCTACTTCATATGGTCATTGTAAAGAAAAGCAATCTATTAATATAGTAAGTAATGAATTAATGTATACAGATAATATTAAACTCATGACTAAATTTTCTTTCTAAGTAGCTAAATGACCCACAATACTCCCTAGCTATCCTAATCATGTTTAAGACTTCTAACCATTAGAATAAGATAATGATTTAGCCCCAAATAAAAACCATGAAATATCATAAGGTTTGAAAAGGATGTTGATCATCTTGTCTCTGTAATCCCCTTGGTGAAAAGGCAAAAATGAAAGATGACAGATTATAGTAAAGAAAGGGAGTAAAGACAATTTCTGCCAGATATCTTTAAGGGTGATTCACCATGAGAGGCAGAGTTAGGAAAAGGACTGGCTTGCCCAGTATACTCAGGGCTGGGAAAAAAATCAACATTTTAAAATGTCCATACTACCCAAAGCAATCTACGTATATAATGCAATCCCCATTAAAACACCATTATATTTTGAAGAACTTGAGAAAATAGTACTTTGTTTCAGATGAAACCTAAAAAAACCTTGAATAGCCAAACAGTGTTAAGAAACAAAAATGAAGGCATCATATTTCAGACTACAGGTTATACTACAAGCCTATAGTGATCAAAGCAGCAAGGTCTGGTACAAAAATACAGATATAGATCTATGGAATAGAATAGAGAACCTACAGATGAACCCAGCCACATATCACCATCTGATCTTTGACAAGGGAGAAAAGAATCCCTATTTAATAAATGGTGCTGGGAGAACTGGTTAGTGACATGCAGAAGACTGAAACTAGACCCATTCCTCTCACCACTGACAAAAATTGACTCCCACTGGATAAAAGATTTAAATTTAAGACATGAAACCATAAAAACTCTAGAAGAAAGTATGGGCAAAACTCTGGACAAAACTGGTCTGGGGGAAAAGATTTTATGAAGAAGACCCCCTGGCAATTGCAGACAACACCAAAAGTAAATGAATGGGACATGTTCAAGCTAAAAAGTTTCTGCACAGTTAGGGGAGAGCAACTAAAGCAGGCAGACAACTTTCAGAATAAGAGAAGATATTTGCATGCTATAAATCTGACAAAGGGCTGATAACTAGAGTCTACAGAGAACTCAAATTAATCAACAAGAGCAAACAATCCCATTTATAAGTGGGCAAGAGACTTTAATAGAAACTTATCTAAAGATGACAAACAAATGACCAACAAACACATGCGAAAATGCTCATCATCCCTAATCATCAGAGAAATGCAAATGAAAATCACTCTGAGATGTCACCTATCCATAATGAGATTAGCCCACATGACAAAATCCCAAATCTGCAGATGCTGGTGTGAAAGAGGAGAGAACGGAACACTTTTGCAGTGCTGGTGGGATTGCAAACTAATACAACTTTTATGAAAAGAAGTATGGAGAATTCTTGGGCAGCACCAGTGGCTCAGTGGGTAGGGCGCCAGCCCCATATACCGAAGGTGCAGGCTCGAACCTGGCCCCAGCCAAACCGCAACAAAAAATAGCCGAGCATTGTGATGGGTGCCTGTAGTCCCAGCTACTAGGGAGGCTGAGGCAAGAGAATCACCTAAGCCCAGGAGTTGGAGGTTGCTATGAGCTGTGATGCCAGAGCACTCTACTGAGGGTGATAAAGTGAGACTCTGTCTCTAAAAAGAAAAAAAAAAAAAGAAGTATGGAGAATTTTCAAAGAACTATAAGTAGACCTCACACTTGATCCCTAAATCCCATTACAAGTTATCTACTCAGAAGGAAAAACATTTTACTACAAGGACTTTTGCAGCTCAGTTCACAATTGCCAAGACATGGAATCAACCCAAGTGCCCATCAACCCATGAATGGATTAACAAACTGTGGTACATGTATCCATGGAGTACTACTCAGCCATAAGAAAAGATGGAAACTATATCTTTTGTGTTTACCTCCATGTAGTTGAAACACATTCTTCTTAGTAAAGTACCATGAGAATGGAAAAACAAATATCCAATGTACTCAATAATAATATGAAACCAATATATAAACAACTACATGCCCACATGAAAGAAAAACACAAGTATATTCTACTGAAGGGAAGAGGAGAAAAGGGGAAGAGGGAAGCATGATTGGCAGCATCTTACCTAATATGCACAATGTGAGGGTGTTCAGCAGGCCCCTGTGTGAAGGGCTCAACTACAACTTGAATTTTAGCTTAGAAATGAAAACAGTGTAACCTAAACATTCGTACCACCATATTAATCTGAAAAAAAAATGGTATGTTTAAAATCCATTCCAAAATGAGTACTTACAGCAGTTTTATATGCTGCTTCAATATAAAACACAAGGTTCTGTATGAAATTGACCTCATCTAGGCTGTGGATGATATGGAGTCCTAAGGAAAAGGGAATAAAGATAGAGAACTGATCAATTATCTCTATAAGCTTTATACATAGCCATAGTGACTAAGTGGTAATCTAACTCCTGCTTAGGAACGATGAAAGTTACACTTTGCTTTCTTAACCATAAAAACAAGATCACAAATCACTTCTAAGCTAGTCTCCAACTAAATGAGATATGAGTATATTTTAACATGGAAGAATTTCAACTGTTACTTATAGATTTTCATAGATAATCTCTGACTCCTAATTCTATAGTAACTCATTTATAATGTGTCTATATGTACAAATTTGGGCACATGAGAAATACATTTCAAAGAAGAGTTGGAAGGAATCCAATCACTAAACAAGAAAAAAGTATATAAAATTATGATTTTTAAGGCAGACCTAGAACTACATTTTTTGAGTAAAAATGGTAAGTATTCTAAATGTAAGTTACACAAAGATAGTTATAGCTTATACATAGAGGTGTTTTGCCTGAATTAGCCATTTAACTTTTACAACAAGAACCCTCTACTTTCTTCATGGGGCTTACAGAGGATAAATATTTGCCTATAGTCATGTAACAAACAAATAGTGGAACCAGGACTTAACTGACTTATATTTCACTCCTCCTAATATGTACTGTATGATACATTTTTGTTAACGCCAACCCCTGCAACAGACCTAGAAAAATATATACCAAGAGGATGCTAGTAGTAGTTATTTTTGGCAATGAAGTTCACAATAGCTTTATCTTTTCCTTTTTTGGACATCTTGGCAATTTTACAATATTCTACAATGCACAGGTGCTAACTTTTATATTAGAAGTTATATTAAAAAGCAAAACCATATTAAATAAAGAAGAAATGGCAGGATGCATTTCACAAAATTTTACACAGAATTATTAAATCTTAAGCACTAAAACTTTTAATACATGTAAAATTTACTAAATAATTAACTTTTAAAACATCTCTTTTGAAACAACAGATATTACTGTGTACATTATCTAAAGACTTTGCTTGGACTACTTGATTTAATCAACTTAGGAAATTATTTTAAAATTGAAAAATCAGTAGGATTGCTTTTCTTTTCCAATCTATAAACAAAGAGGAAGAAAAAGTGAAGATCACGTTAACAATAGAGACTAAACTTTTAAACTTCTTATGTTTTCCTGGGGGAAGGTATTATATTTAAGCAAAAAGTATAACCACATTTTTCACAATTATGCTGGTTTAACATGTACTGGCTACATAGTTGTGTATAGTCAGAAAAAGCTGAGAATTCCCAGTTTGCTGGGGATTGGGCATATCTACAGCCATTAAATGTAGGTAAAAAAAAAAAAAAAGCTTCTTTAAAAGGGCTTGGGAATGGAAACAGTCCTCTCACATTCTTAGAAGCATGGTATAAAACGGTTGTCAAGTGTTTCTTCATGTTAGCTTTGACATGAACTCCACTGTAAATGTCCTGGATAACATTCTAGTTCAATAACAAACATGTTCTTTGTAAGTCAACACTTGGTAATATTATTTTCATGAAAAAGTTCAAACTGTACCAAAGGGTATACAGTGAGTCTTCCTCCTACCCAGAACAACATCACCCCCACCCATGCTAAATCTTTTCTCTGTAGTAAACCAGTCTTACCAGTTTCCTGTTTCCTTTCATAGATATGTTATGCATATCCATATATTACACAAAGAGTAGTACTGTATGTTGCAATGGACCTTGCTTTTTTCATACATACCTTGGATATAATTTCAACTATATGTGTTTCATTTTCAAGGGCTATACAGCATTCCACTGAATAGCTACTCACATAACCAGTACCGTATTGAAAGATATTTAGGTTGTATCTAATCTTTCATCACTACAAACAATGTTTCAATGAATATCTGTATATATAGATCTTTGTACACATGTGCCAGTACATCAGGGAAAATTCTTAGAATTGCTGAAATACTTATGCATTATCATTTTTCCAACATTATGGACATTTTAAACATGAAAAATGAAAGAATTTTAGAGAACGTCTGTATATTCACCATCTAGACTCTATCATTAACAATTTACTATGTTTTTTTCATCACCTATCTATTCATGTTATTATTATTATTTTCTTTTTGTAGTTTTTGGCCAGGGCTGGGTTTGAAGCCACCACTTACGGCATACGGGGCCAGCGTCCTACTCCTTTGAGCCACAGGCGCTGCCCTATTCATGTTATTTTTTATGCATTTCAGAATAAACTGCAAATAACATTATACTGCACTCTCAGTATTTCATGTATTATAAATTTTTCTAATCGTCATCAAATTACTCTGTAAAGAAATTCTACAGTTTATTTATTTTTATTATTTTATTTTTTGAAGACAAGAGTCTCACTTTGTTGCCCTTGGTAGCTGTGGCATCATAGCTCATAGCAACCTCAAACTTTTGGACTCAAGCAATTCTCTTGCCTCAGTCTCCCAAGTAGCTAGAACTACAGGTACCTGCCCCAATATTTTTAGATATGAGGTCTCTCTCTGGTTCAGGCTGGTCTCAACTCTGTGAGCTCAGGCAATCCACTGGCCTTAGCCTCCAGAGTGCTAAGACGCCTGGCCCAAAATTCTACAGTTTATATACCAATCAATACTGTTTCCCTATGCCCTTGCAAACACAGGCTTTAATCAAAGTTCTTGATCTTTGCCCCACTTTGTAGTTTAATTTGTAGTTTTTTATTATGAGTAAGGTTGAAAGTCATTTTATATATTTATAAGCCATCTGTGTTTTTTTCCTACAAACTGGTTACATCCTTCACAGATTTCTATTGAATTGCTAGTCTTTCTGTTTACACACACACACACACACATATTCACACATACACACACACACACACACACACATATATATTTTGCTCAACACTAAACTTTTTTCTTTCTGTTATTGACATTTTAATAAATATTAAGGAAATAGCCTTTTTCCTAACATAGGTGTTCCAACTATTTTTCCTAGGTTGGGTATATTTTGAATTTGTTTATATTTTTCTTCTCATAAACTTTTAAAAACATTTTATCCCAAGAATGTTTCTGACATTTTTATGGTGTTTTGTGGCACTGAAATCTTCAATCTATTGACAGATACAAGGTGTGACAATTAAGTTTGTGAACTTGCCACTCTGTGCTTACACTGGCAGCACTGTACAAACAACTTGGTAAGGTTGCATAACCTTGGTGTATCAGTGTCCCACAGTTGTATTTGTGTCAATATGTGATGGTGCCTTGCTGAGTGGTGTTCATTGTTGTTTCATGTTTTTGTGTGTCATTGGGAGAATGTTGGAGCTTGAATTAGAGGAATGAGCAAAAACTAAATTCCTTTTTTTTCATGATTTATTATAAAAAGTACACTGAAAAGTTGATTGAGCTAGGCTGAATGGTATGATACTTTATATACAATAAAATAAAGTTAGCAGTTCAGGTAAGATATGATGTATCTATTTCATTAATAAAAGTTACTCTAACAAGGATACAAGTGAATTTTTCTAGAACTAGAGTATAAATGTTTTAACACAATAACTAAGTAAATGACACAAAGTCTATGTTAACCAGTTTGATGAAAATATTTCAAATTGTATATGAATACACCACACTGTACCCCATGTTTGTATTAATGTACACAGATATCATTTAATAAAAAAGAAAAAAAGTTACTCTCACAACATACACAGCAGTTATACTTTGAAATGTAACCCACTCACCAGGATATAGATCTATCAGTTAGGTTAGGAAAATAGGCCTCCACCATAAATCAGAGGTTAATAGCAGTTTATGATTTCTTGCAATGTAAGGCACTGTTTTTGAGATGATCCGATAAAACTTGCAGGGAAAAGTTTGCTTCGTAATGCTATAAACTCTAACGCCTAGGGATACTATTCTCTGAGTCATTCTAATTTTGGTTTATATGCAGCTGAATTAAACATTGCCTCAGAATAACAAGTCACGAGGCAATGAGCAGGAGATCAGAATAGGGCTTACTCAAGGAGAATGTAACCAGTAGCTTGTCCCAGGACTCATTTTCAGTATAAGCTGCTCCTTCAACACATCTGCCAGGGAAGTTTTAAAATATTCACTGTATTCATTAGTACATTTCAATGATTTGACATTTCAAAGATATGAAAGGGAAGGCAAGGAAGGCTCTCTCTCTTATTTGTTCTCCCAGCCACCCCTTTCTTAAGGCAACTAAGTTTATCAATGTTTCATTTTTTGTGGTGACACTGTACTGATGTATGTATATATTTAAACTTTATTATGTAAAATTTCTAATATGCATAAAAGTAGAGAGAATATTAAAATGAACAACAATCATCAATTTATGATTATCTTTCATCCCACTGCCAGATTATGATAAAGCAAATCCTAGATGTCATATTTTACTCATAAATATTAATGGCTCGGTGCCTGCACTTCAGCAGCTAGGGCACCAGCCATATACATTGGAGTTGGCAGATTCAAAACCAGCCTGGGCCTGCCAAACAAAAATGACAACTACAATCAAAAAATAGCCAGGCATTGTGGCAGGCACCTGTAGTCCCAGCTATTCGGGAGGCTGAGGCAACAGAATTGCTCAAGCCCAAGAACTTAAGGTTGCTGTAAACTATTATACCATGGCACTCTATTGAGGGCAACAAAGTGAAGTCTCAAATAATAATGATAATACTATCATAAATATTATCATAACCCATCAAAAATAAGGACTCTTTTTTAAAAAGCCAACTGCTCTACCAATATCATAACCTCTCAGGTTCACAATAATTTCTATTATCAAATGAGTCAATACCTACATTTTTTGATTATCTCATAATTTTTCTTTTTTTACAGTTTTCTTAAATCAGGATCCAAACAGGATCTAAAAATTGCATTTTATTAATATATATCTTAAGTCTTTTAATATATCAAGTTCACTTTTTTTTTCCTTACAATGTATCTGTTGAAGAACTTTTTCATCCTACAGAATCTGGATTTAGCTGATGGCATCTTTCTAAGGA